CAGAAAATGGACCATGTAGGTCCACGTCTTCGTATAGGTCCCATATACCGTACCCCCCGATATTCGGTATTTTGATGATTTTAGCGACATTATTTACCGGGATTGTTTTAAATTTCGCATTTGAAGTTCGTAATGGATACCTTAGCCCATGCCAGAAAATTGTCTGTGCAGGTCCACGTCTTGTACGATATAGGAAAACAATTTAAGTGGGTTTGCGGTATGAAATGTGGTATTTGCGAGTATTACATCCATCCGTAATATCTACTTCGCCATTTTTGAAAATAACTTCCCTCTACCCAAAATGGTTTTGCAATGCATTTCAGTGTACAGGGTTTTATATTTTATTGAATGAAAGCAAAAAATGTCTGAAATAGCACCACGCTGCCCGATTGTTGCTCTGCGATATTTTGGCCCATTCCCGGCGAAGCGCTTGCTAAATTGATCGACACATTGGTATTTTTTAGTGCAACCTTGCTTTCCAAAATACTCCAGACACAATAGTCCAACGGATTGATTCTTGGAATGTCCAAGGTCTGCGGCCAAAATGTTTGCGTGCCTAAGGCTTTAATACACCCTACAGAATATTTTCGCTATAATATTCGGCATTTATACTGCTGCCACGGTAGATTAATACGAGCGGAGAACAACCATCGGCTGTTATGGCGGCCCTCACCATCACCATGGCCGGCGCTTGAGTTCTGGTGGCCAACCGAAGGTTCACATTTTTAGCTGACCTCTTTGGCAAGTACATACGATCATTTTGTTTCTTTACAAACAGCTAGACAACGAATGTTTTCTCATCGGAAAAAACCAAACCGGCAGTTCTTCACCACTTTCGGCCAAGCGAAGCAACTCTATAACTCTTTTGAGTCTATTTTCTTTCTGTTGCGGTGTAAGTTCTTGCAATTTTTGGGATTTCAATGGCTTTACGCGAGCTAATTTTTCAACATTTGCCGAATGGAATATTGCCATTTTCCTTCGAAAAGGTCCTTAGAAAAATATTCTTTAAGAATCCACAATTACACCTTTGGAACATGAATCTAGTGCCTCTTATTGCAAATTTCAGAATTCTAGCTCATTTCGTTTGCCCAATACAAAATATTACATTTTTAGGATATTCTAGTACTTTCCATTAGTAATACACACAAAGACCGATCCTCGTGCAAAATTTCTAGACACTTCCTCCAGCCGTTTCAGTCAGTTATATCCCTACCCATGGTTTTGGCTAAAACAGTTCTTCTTTAAATATTCTTAAAATGAATCACGATCTAAAACCTGATAGTCATTGAAAAATAAGCCTTAAAATTCAAAATTTGATTTTATATAGCCCCTAAATTACTGTTAAAAATACTCAATCATTCTTTGAACAAAAATATCCAACAAAAAAAAAGAACAAAATGAATCCCAACTGCAGTAGGAAATTTCCCATTCTAAGACAAAGTAGAAAACTTTCCAAAAAAAATTAAATTTAATAATATATTTGAACGAATGCACACACATATTACTAAAAATGTTCATGATACGATATTTTTCTAGATATGTTATTATAATTTATTTTTTGTTTTCCTCAGTCATCATATGCCGGGCAATGATATAAAACACAAAATTATTATTTTTTATGTTGAAAAAATATATATATTTTTTCCTAATAACAAAAAAAGAATACACTGAGCCAAATACAACAGCATAGCAGATATAAACCATGGAAGCTACTTTTGGCCACTGCTGTTGCTATATGACTTTTTTTTTTTTTTGAAAAATTCAAAACAAAACAAAAAAATAAAATGAAAACATTTTTCTAGACACTACTACTCGGTAGGTTCTTTTTTCGCCCCGCTGTAGCTTCCGTTTTTGTTATTGTGGTCAAATCGTCAATTAATTTGTTAAATAGTTGTGACAAAAGTTAAAGAATGAATACAATTTTTTTTTTTTGTAGCTCACCCACCCATTCCCCCGGCCTCGTCCATATTCCTTTATTATTGTTTTTTTTTTTTTTTTTTTGTTTTTTATGATCATTAACTTTTTTGCTTTGTTCAAAGCATCCAATCCTACATACATACATACATACAATTTGTGTATAGGTTTGTGTCTGTATGTTTGCCATTTATTCAAACAATTGGCGCGTGTATCTTGTTTATCCGCAACACAAAGTAGCAACATCATCATCGGCCAGCCAGCAGTCAACAGCAGCTATGCAAGCTGTTGATTCCGATGGATGGGTGATATTTTTTTGTGAAATTCACATATAGAAGAACGACACGACCAGATTTAAGGCAACAAAATCAGAAGCAAAACACTCACGCAACGCGTGTATATTTTTAACTGCAGTCAAAACTAAATTTAATTTTCTGTTCTATTCAATCTATTTTTTTATCGCTTGGGGTAAATGTCCATTGAGTAATGGGAACAACAGCACGGAGAGTGTGTAGGTTTTATTCCGAAAGTTTTTTTTTGGGGGGGGGGGGGTTTTGCAAAATTATTTACGGAAAAAATCAAGTCAAATTTAAAGTGGCAATATTGGCAACAACACATGTTTAATTTGCCAGAAAATTTGTATGGGTCTACGTTCAAAACAAAAAGCAATACGCTTTAAAAAGCAGTTCATGCGAAAAAGGCCAAAAAATCGAAATAGATAGATGGATTGAAGGTATAGATTAAAAGATGATTGAAGCTGTAATTGTCTCTAGAACGGTGATCTAAAATAATCCATAAATCAAGCTCCGATAGTCTTTAGAAGTGGTCATAAAAATACATGATTAGTCCTTAAACAAATGATAGTCATTAAAATATCTATAGCTTCGACAATTATTAAAAATTAATAACTATATTTTTCATAGTCCTTGAAAAAAAATATCCTTTAAAAATCCACGGGCATAGCTCTGAGGATCCTTCAACAAATATTTTTAAAATTTCTTAAAATCTTAAAATCTGATGGTAACCCCTGAAGACCCTTCAGACTTCAGGTCCTTTAAAATCTCCAATGATCCCTAAAAGTATATTCTTTAAAAAATCCGGGATAGGCCTTGATAAAAAATATTCTTAAGAAAATCCACGGATAAAGCTCTAATAGTCCCTCAAAAATATTCTTTACACATTTCCTTCAAAGAATATCGCTGAAAGTCCTCCTAAAAATATGATTCTAAAAATATTCTAGACGGTCCTTCTATGTACAAGGATTAGGAAAAACAGGGTAGTTTTTGAAAAAAAAAATCGTTTAAAAATCCTAGATGGTCTATCATTTGATCTATTCTTTAGAAATTCACGGATAAAGCTCTAATAGTCCTTTAAAAATATTCTTTACACATTTCCTTCAAAGAATATCGCTGAAAGTCCTCCTAAAAATATGCTTTTAAAAATATTCTAGAGGGTCCTTCAATGTACAATGATTAGGAAAATAGGGTATCAAATGATAGACCATCTAGGATTTTTAAAGGATGTTTTTTTTTTTCAAAAACTACCCTGTGTTCCTAATCCTTGTACATTGAAGGACCGTCTAGAATATCGTCTGGAATACCCTAGAAAACCATACAGGTTCCTAAAAACCTTAAAAATTTACAAGTATATAGTATAGTTCTTATATCCCTTCAAAGAATATCCCTGAAAGTCCCAAAAATATTCGTTAAAACTACTAGACGGTGCTTCATTACTGAGAAGTGCTTAAAGAAGATATCCTTTAATAATCCACGAATATAGCTCTTATATCCCTTCAAAGAATATCTCTGTCCTAAATATATATGTGTAAATATTACTAGATGCTGCTTCAATATACAAAGATTACAAAAACAGGGGACAGAGTCTTTGGAAAATATCCTTTAAAAATCTACGAGTATAGCTCTGAGGGTCCTTTGAAAATATTCCTTAAAACAACAGATGTTCCTATGAAATATATATATTTTTTAAAAAAATACTGAGTAGTGCTTAAAGAAAATGTCCTTTAAAAATTCCCCTCAGGTGTTCTAAGAGAAGCTCCTCAGGTTTTCTATGAGTAGCTTCTCAGGTCTACTATGAAAAGCCCCTCAGATCTTCTTGAAGAAGCCCATCAGGCCTTCTTGGAGAAGCCCCTCAGATCTTCTTGGAGAAGCCCATCAGGCCTTCTTGGAGAAGTCCCTCAGGTCTTCTAAGAGAAGTCTCTCAGGTCTTCTATGAGAAGCCTCTCAGGTTCTCTTGGAGAAGTCCCTCAGGTATTCTAGGAGAAGCCCTTCAGGTTTTCTATGAAAATGCCCCCTGGTCTTATATGAGAAAGCCTTTCCAGGTCTTCTATGAGAAACCCTTTTTTGGTCTTCTTTGAAAAGACCTTCACGAGAAGCCCTTGTAGTCCATCTTTCACAAGAAATTTGGATCTCCTCTGAGAAGAAGTTCTGAGCTTCTCTGAGAAAACCTTAAGATTGAGGTTCTTGAAAAGTTCATATCTTTCTATTTTTCTTTTTTTCCAAATCAGTTAATTTTTTTGTTTATACTTTTTTCATTGTTGCCCAATTTTTTGAATGGAAAAACACAAAACTAGACAAAACTAATTTATTTCGGCTATTGTTTTTTGTTTGTTTATCACACGTCAACTTACGCGTGCTTTTCTGATGTTCCTCTACTTCTCTCTTCTCGCTATTCGTCTGGCTAGCTCGGAATACAGTCAATAAAACTGACATAAATCATTTAATTCATGCAATTGTCAATTAGTTTCAATTGAAATCAGTCAATTAAACAGACAACAAACAATATGCATAGTATGACTGTATGGATGCTTAGGAGAATCAGTGGGGAAGAGAAAAAAAAACCAAAATAACAAAAAAAACTGTAAACATATGTTAAAGACAATGAGTTAATAACGCTATTCTCCAGTTCGAAAATTTACAGCCTTACAAGGTGAAAATTTCTGAAAAACTAGACTAGGTTCTGTCACTTAACAGTCTGTGACTTTTAACACCTTTTGGCTTATTTTCTTTTGCTGTTTCATTTTATTTGCAACATTTTTCTAATATATTTGTGTCTTTCCCTTTTTACAGTGCTTAAAGAAGAACCTGATGATCTAACAGCCCATTTGGTGGCCCCAAATGCCGTCGATGCTTGTCTGCCACTCGATGAGACGACACCATTGTTCAGTGAAATGCTTGTCGGTCTAATGGGCACTTATGGTGGCCTCCTGTCCGATGATATCAGTTCTTTTGATTCATCCAATTCAGCGACATCCAATACAGATCACAGCAACAACAACTGCAATAGTTCATCTGGCTCCTGTCCATCGCCCTTCAGTAATCACAATGGAACAGCCGTCGCTGCAACAACGCATAGCCAACACCACCAACAACAGCATCAGCAGCAGCATCATCGGCAATCGCCAACCCTAACAATGACAAATAGTAGCATAACAAACGGTAATAGCAACAGCAACCACAACCACCACCACAACAACAACAACAGCAATTCACCAGTAACCAATAATACAACAAATAGCACAAATATCGATCCATTTATAAATAATAATCGCGATGAATCGAATGATACGCTTTGTTCGCAGCATTTATTATCATCACCAAGTGCTTCATCAAAGGTAAATTTTTGTCTTCTTCTCTGTCACTCTCTTGTTTCTACCTTTATTGGACAGAATTTCAGTTTCGAAATTAGTTCTGAACGCGTTTAAAAAACAGCAGTCTTCAAAAACAAAAAGAAAGAAAATCAATTTTCAGCAGGAAAGTTAGGAAAGTCCTTACAAACTCCCTAGAAAGTTAATAGCTAAGGTCCTAGAATTGTTAATCTTTCAAATATTTTTTTGATGGACCCCATATTTTACAAGGTCCACTTTCGATTTGGATTTTTAAAGGTGTTTGTTTTAAGGACTATCGGCAATGGAACATAATAGCTAAACTCGTGGATTTTTAAAGGATATTTTCTTAAGAATATATTTTCAAAAACCATTGGGCCAGGGAGTCAGAGCTCAACCCGTGAATATGAAAAGAAGATTTTTTTCAAGGACCACCACAGATTTTCAAAGAATAACTTTTGAAAGTCCATTGGGTATCTAAATTATTTTTTTGATGTTTCGAGCTGTGTTCATGGTTTTCAAAGGGTATATTTTTTCAACAACCGCCTCATATGTTATATAATATAATTTATTTTGAAGACCCATCGAATATTTAAATATTTTTTTTTTTGAGGTTCAAATCCGTGCTCGTGGGTTTTTTAAAGGATATTTTTTTCAACGCTGTTAAAAAAATATTTTGGAATCTCCATTAGAGCTGTTCCAATTTCTTCAATCCAATTCAATACAAAATCCAAATACGTGACCTTCGAAAGTGCAAAATTAATTTTTGGATAATGTTCTCAAAATCTAATGCTTTCAAGTCCTTCTATGTGAAATCCTTATGGTCCTACTATAGAATATTCTTCTGGTCCACCTGTGAAAAGTTATTCTACTCCTTCTATGAGAAGTTTACATTCCCGATGGGAGCTCTGTTATTCCTCACAACAAGCATCAAAAAAGTTTTGACTTATTTTACGGTTTATGGCTTAAAATGTTCTATCTTGAAACAAATTCTTGATTGAAGCTCAGATAGTCCCCCAAAATTTAATTTTTTTATTTTTTGTTTTGTTGTTTTTTTTTTTTTTTTTTAAATCCATGATTTTTAATATCCAGATCCGATAATCATTCGAATGCACTCTTAAAGTAATCCCTTAAAAAGTTGCTAAAAACAACAATTTAAAAGGTCTTGAAAATTATATATTTAATAATATTTTCAAAAATTCACGACTTGAAGTCTTAAGTATATTCCGAAAAATCCCAGAATGGAATTCGGAGAATTTTAAAAATCTACAAAATATCCCTGATACTGAACGGAAAGTATTATCAAAACAAATATTACTCAAAGGCTTTCTATAAGAAGCTTTTAAGGTCTTAAAATCCATAAAGACTTATTTATTAATATTCTTAAAAATCCACGACTAGAAGACTTATAAAAGTTCAGTTGTAGAAGCACTAGATTACCCTTAAGAAATATTCCAAAAATCGTAAAAAAGCATTCAATTAAATTTCCCTTTAATTCGGTTTTAGAGAAGCCCATTTCCTCTCCTCAAACAAAAAAAAATCCATTAGACCTGTAAATTTTCTGAAAAATATCTGTCTCCAAGGACTTGCCTGATATTAATTTTTCGACTTGACACCAATTCCCCCATAACTTAGTGTAGCTTATGACAAGAATTCCCTACTGCACCTCATTTCCATATAAAATATAAAACACTTGACTCATCTGTTTAACACACTTGACTTAATTTATGTTTTTTTTCTCTCTCTCTCTTTTCTTCTTTACACCCCACACAGAGTCCCGATGGCAGTAGTCTACCCTCGCTGTGCAGCCCCAATTCGCTGAGCCAAGAAGATGACTTCTCCTATTACACCATGAACGTTGACGACATGGATGACTTGACAATGCGTGCCCCCTATATTCCCATGAATGAACAGGACGATTTGCCGCTACTGACCACGGACGATTTCATGTGGAGCAGTGGTAATGCCTTCAATGCTGATGATTTTTCGCTACAGACAAAAGAGACGGACAACTTGCAGGCATTGCAATCATCGATTAATCAAAACATTAATTATCAACAGCAGCAATTTACACAGCCGCAGCAACAGCAACAGCAATATTCAAGCTCATTATGCTCATCGCCAGCCTCAACAGTATCCTCAATGTCGCCATCGTCGCCCATGCAACAGCAACAGCAACAGCATCAGCAGCAACAACAACAACAAATCCAACAAAATAATTCTCAGCAATTTTTAACATCGGATTCCAGTGAATTGGCTGCCCTACTTTGTGGTACCGGTTCAGGATCGTTATCCTTGCTGCAGGATAATTCAACAAATTCGTCAATTGGTAATTGTGGTGGTGCCGCTGGTGTGTTGGTGAGTAATGGTGGAGGTGGTGGTAGTATTGGCAGTACTGACAGTGGTGTTATGTTAACCGACGATTTGGATAATGTCAGTGTGGCCTCAGCCTCGTCGTCTGCCAATAATCTCACCCAGCAACAGCAGCAACATGAATTCCAGCAACAATGTTTGCAACAATTGCAAGATCAATTGCAGCAACAGCAACGCCAACAACAACAATTGTTATTGAGTGGTCTAAACATCAGTTGTAAAAAAGAGAAATTCGATGGCTCGGCCAATAATGGAACACCGGTTTCACTTACGCCCAGTTTGTGTGATTCCATTGAAGACTCGTTCGACAGTGTCTACAACAAGAATTGTAAGTAATTTGGCCGGAACAGTAACAACAACAACAACAGCATTAAGAAACCTGCGGTTTGTTGTTGATTATATGAACGTGTGTGTGTGTATTTTTTGCAAAACAAATGATTATCAAAAGAGAGAATCTTGAAATGGAAATTTAAGAAAATTTGTTCCATTTAAAAAAAAGATTTTTCAATGTTTGAGATTTTGTTCTCTTATTTGTTATAATTTAAAGAATACATTTAAAAATAGCATGTAGAGTCGTTGAAATTTCATATTTTTTATTTATGGATTTATGGAGGGGGTACCTCTCCATTTCATAAATTATATTGTCATAATTCAATACATAGTGTTATCGTTATATTTTTATCACCTCTTAATATGCCTATATAGGAGCCATGGCATCATGCCATGTTGTACTTGTCATTCAAAATTTTATTATAATTTAGTTATTATTTATCACTAATGCACCCACGAATTAACATCATGTAGCATTTTTTTTCTTATTATGTTTCACACTTCAAGTGCTGACTTCTTATATCTTATCAGATTTTTGATTTTAAATAATTTAGAAAAAAAAATTATGAAATATTATCACGTGAAGATAGGATGCAATTATAAAATTCTAGTATGTTAGCAGAATGATTGCAATATGAAAGTGGTGTGAATCGAATAATTGATAACCACCCAAGTGGAATTAAGTATTTTGTTATTATGAATGACGCAGTTCACTGACCTAATCAACAGTGCGCACTAAACTTAATTTATTGGTACCATAAAAGGGTGGTATTTGTTTAGTGATAGCTTTACACAATAGAAAAAAACTAAGAAAATATGTTTTCAAAATAATTTAAAGAAATATGAATGATTATTAAAATGATTTTCGAAATTGATGCAAAATTTTCAAAATTGATGAAAAATGTATCTTATTTTTAAACAACAATGTTAGGTTCGGTTAGACCTTTTCGAAAAATGAAATAAATAACCCCCAAAAAAATTGTATACCCTCCATAGAATGGTGGAGCTTTGTCATTCCGTTTGTAACTCCTCGAAATTATCATAATAGACCCTACAAAGTATATATATTCTAGATCAGCGTAAGATTCTAACACGATCTAGCGATGTTCGTCTCTCTGTTGTAATCACGCTACCTTTCGAACGAATTGAGATATAAGGCTAAAATTTTGAATACATGCACCAGTGGGCAGGTTAAGTTCGTAAATGGGCCATTTCGGTCCATGTTTTCGTATAGCCCCCACATAACGGTACCTCCCAACATTCGGTATTTTCATGATTTTAGCGACATTATTTACTGGAATTATTCCAAATTTCGTATTTCAAGTTCGCAATGGGTGCTACAGCCTATGACGAAAAATTTTGTATGCAGGTCCACGTCTTCGTATAGCCCTCATATAACGGTATCTCCCGATATTCGGTATTTTCATGATTTCAGCAACATTATTCATCGGAATCGTTTCAAATTTCGTATTTCAAGTTCGCAATGGGTACTACAGCCTATGACAAAAAATTCGTATGCAGATCCATGTCTTCGTATAGCCCCCATATAACGGCAACTCCCAATATTCAGTATTTTCATGATTTTAGCGATATTATTTACCGGAATATCGTATTTAAGGTCGTAATGGGTACTACAACCTATGACAAGCATTTTTATATGCAGGTCCATGTCTTGGTATATCCTCCATTGTAGCTTTCGCGTTTTTTTTTTTTTTTTGAGAATTTTCTAGTTCCTTCCAAATGATGGAGGGTATTAAAAGTTCGATCCGTCCGAAATTAACAGCTTTTTACTTGTTTTTTTCTTTATTTATTTATTTATTTATTTATTTTTTTTTTTTTTTTGGTTATTTATTTGTTTGAAAATTCAAATTTCATTTTAACGGTATTGTAATGATTGTTTAAAAAATAAAACCCTACACCATAGGATGAGGATATTCATTTCAAAATATTTTTCTGAAACCCCATGTAGCGTTCCTTCTTAATTTGCATACCATTCAAAATCGATTTTGCTACATAAGTACGTCTATTTGTATAGGGTAATTTTTTAAGAACTGAAAAAATTAAAAAAGCACATGAGATTAAGAATTATTCATGAAATCAAGCAATCTTAATCTGAAAATTTCAAAAAATGTAGAAGTGTTGGTAGTTACACCAATCCTGAACAACTGCACCATCATTCTGGAGCCAAATCATAATGTTAGATATTTTTAAGAATTAAGTGCTTTTGGGTAGTGAACCTCATGCCAAAATTCAAAAATCTGGCACCTACTCATTGTTCAATACCATGAATGTACCATTTTGTACTTTAAAGCACTTTTTTGTACCGCTAAAAAGTTAATTTCCAAGAACCCAGCCTTTCACTTCACACAAAAAGTTGTATCGTGTGAATTTTTAATTTGTAGCTCTTACCTCAATTTTAATGCCGTGCTCTCTGCACCCATATAATAAGATCGTTCATTTATAAGGTTGCAAAATATTGCAACTTTTTGTAAGAATTTCCGGAAATCCTGCATATCTTACCTCCTCACGCCCTCAGTAACCCCCTTGGCAAATTTAAAAGGTTCTAGCTTCAATAGATTCTCCCAAGCGCCAATGAGTCAGTTATTCAGCCACTCAGTCAGTTAACTTTTTTTATTAACAATGATAAAATAATTAAAAATTACAACGTTTGTTCGAAAAACCTTGAGTAATTTTTGTTCACCAAAAAAATTGACTCTAAACTTTCCCTTGTCGATTTTTTTTTTTTTTGGGACACATTTCCCCACAAGAAGTCATCGACACCAAGAAAAGTCTTTCTCTTTTTAATTTTCATTTTTCCCACTTTTCTTTTTTTTCCAAAAATCCAAACATTTATTTTTAAATTACATTTTAGAAATTAAATTTTATTTATTTTATTGTTTCATTTTGTAGAATTTAATAAAGCCTTACAACATTTCCTTGTTCTTTGATGTGCCAACTAATTTACATGTTTACCACTCCCACACACACACAGAGACACAAAATGTCATAAAATGTGTTACTTGGTGCCGGTGTATAATGCTGTGGAATAGGGAGGCCGGGTAGTGCCACTGAGCTGGGTACTTAATGTCAACAACACTTTTACCCCCCAAACTGGTGTCGGTTGGCACTTGGTTGTCACTTGAAATTTTTAAGTGTTTTAATGTATTCATTTGCAAGTAAGTGTGTGTGTGTGGGATGGTATGTAGATTCCCATGCCTACACCATAATTTCCAGTAAATTACAACACGTGTAATTTTTCCCTTTATTTTTCTCAAAACTCCATGGCCCAACCAACAGACACACACACACGAAAAACTCCTTTCAGTCAACCTCCCCAGAAAAATCACAACCAGTGACTGAGTGACTCTTTCAACAACAGCAACAACGAAAAATTGATACTGTCACTTAATAGTGTGTGCTATATATCCCCTTCTCCCTCTCCCCTTTTTTTTGTGGACCCCTCCTTGATTCCACTTTAGTTTCATGCCTCGCTGGCTAATCACTACTGTGTTGTGTAGCTGATGTTTTCTGCTGGTAGGTAGGCCTAGTGTGTGAGGATGACGATGATGACGTTGATGATGCCAAAGAAGAGTACATCCCAAAATATCCATCATTAGGCATTTCGGTGTAGGCACTAATGTACAATCGCCTACAAAGAATCCAGGAGACATAAACTGACAGTTTTATTTCAAAATCATCGGAGAGTGTAAGAAAAGAAAAATTTAATTTCAGTTTTATTTTTTTTCGCTGTGAAAATTCATTGCTAAAAATAGATTTTGAATACAGAATTTAAAACAGAACACTCTTTACTACGTAAGGAGAAGTCTATTATGGTTAAATAAAAACAGAGGTTGGTGCAGTGTTTTGGGGCCCACTGGGGTAAATAAATCCTAGCGTAAATTGTTCAGTATTTGAATCTCACATAGTGATTTTTATTTATGCAGCTATGAAATATTTAGGATTTCAATTGATAAAAGTGTGTGATAACTCCAATTGCCTTTAAAAAATTTTTAATTAATTAACAATTACTTCCACATGTTTTGAGAATTTTTTCTCAAAATAAAAAAAAATTATAAAACAAAATACTTATTTTTCCTATCGAAGAACATTGCCTCCTCCACTTCCCATCATTTCTATACTCAACAAATCACCTCAATAGACACGAGCCAGACAATTTCCACTTGTCATATTGGGGATAGGAGGAAATGACCCCTCCACAACCACTGCCATTGTTATGTTAATGTGTAGGTGGTTTTTTAAAACCATTTTCACAAAAACAAAACAAATCATTAATGGTTAATTAAACTAACTGTCATCCATTTTAAAGTCTTAGATTTCAGCCGACAAAGGCAAAAAAAGTCGCGTCAAACCTTTTAAAATGTCCAAAGAAAATAAAACAAAATATTTGTACGAGGAAGTACAAACGGAACAACGCCTGCCATTTGAATGACACTTGTGATGAGTTCTGCTGACACATTCATCACATGTGATATCTATTCGATTTGACATAAATGAATGTGGTTGATATTTTTGAAGTGGGCCTATCATACCAAGTGGCGGTATGTCTGTCATATGGGTTATTAACGGCGCTAGAGCGTGATTAGGGGTTTGATTTCCATTAGAAGAATAGAAATTGTGGCATAAACAGTGATGGAGAATAAGTGTTTAAGAGAATATGTTGACCTCCGTATATAAATGAGATATAATAAAATACTTTTAAATTCATGGTACAAATCATGACATGATATACTCCTTCATAAAAGGTCCTTAACTACAAGGAAAATCTCAGTTGCTTGTGAAAGTAGAGCCAAAAATAGAGCCTACGCTCATCGGGGTTTTATGTGTTTACATCGCAAAGTAACCTAAAAAGAGGACGCGAGCTCGTCGCCCTCTTTCGCATTTTTGGAAAATGTTCTTATTAAGATTCTTTGGAATCCGTTCATTTTATGTATATAATGTCCTCGGCACTATTTCAGATGACAATACGGCGATTATTTTGGTCGAGAATTTTCACTTTTAACAGAGTCTCAATTGGAGTTTTTTGGTCCTCTTATCAAAATATGGTTAAAAACTCTATTTCAAAAAGGATTGTATCAAGTCAAAATATACTACAGGGTGAGATAAAAAAACCGCAACAAAGTCAAAAGCCATAATTTTAACATTTTTTTTAATTTTATTGAATGAAAGCAGAAAATATCGGAAATAGCATCAAATTTTAAAATAAGTTTAGATTTGTTTAGCACGAATTATGGCCCTCAAAAGGCCAATGAAACCGTCACACGCTGCCCGAATGTTGCTCTGCGGTATTTTGGTCCAGTCCCGGCGAAACGTTTGCTTGAGGTGATCAACACTTTGGTATTTTTTTAGTGCCAACCTTGCTTTTCAACATACTCCAGACACAATACTCCAACGGATTGGTATCCGGAGATTTTGGTGGTCATTGTGCGCTGGAAATGAAGCAAAGAAACTTGTTTTGTATCCCTTCTTGGGTGCCACGTGCTGCGTGCGATGGTGCTGAGTCCTGTTGGAATATCCAAGGTCTGCGGCCAAAATGTTTGCGTGCCCAAGGCTTTAATACACCCTCCAGAATATTTTCGCAATAATATTCGAATTTCTGGATTCTGATGCCACATTCGATTAATACGAGCGGAGAGCGATCATCGGCTGTTATGGCGGCCCACACCATCAGCATGGCCGGCGCTTGAGTTCTGGTGGCCAATCGAAGGTGCACATTTTCAGCTGACCTCTTTGACAAGTAAACACGATCATTTGTTTGTTTACAAACTGCTGACCAACGAATTTTTTCTCTTCGGAGAAAACCAAATTCGGCAGTTCACCACTTTCGGCCTAGCGAAGCAACTCTTTAGCTCTTTTGAGTCTATTTTGTTCTTGCACTTTTTGAAATTTCAATGGCTTTAGTCCGAGCTCATTTTTCAATATTTGCCGATTGGAATATTGCAATATGTTTAGCTCACGAGCCATTTCTCGGCGACTGCGACGCGGGTTTAGATCAAGTCGCTTCTTTACTTTTCGAACCATTTCTGCTGATGTTGCTGTTTTCTTCCCACCAAACGATTTATTCACATTTAAATGCTGAATTGCTCTGACGACCACTTGTAGTTTTCCAGCCAAATATAAAGAAACCACACTATCACTCTTGAATTCCATCACGAATAACTTTTTCTGGAAAACTCTCACCAAAATGATTTTGTACGCTTGTAGACCATATAATGAGCTGTCGCTGGAATAATTTTAACAGCTGTCGGACGAGTGGCTTATAAATGACAGCAGTCTGAAATTGGTTGCAGTTTTTTCATCTCACCCTTTAGGCATAGGGTTTATTCAAAGATTTGTAGTTTTGTTTCTCCCTCTATCCTGAAAAGTGCCTAAAATAACGTTTCGCATATAAAATGTTGAATGTATTCAAGAGAGATTTGGAAAGGGTTTGGGTAGTGACATGTATTTGTATTAAGAATTCTCAAGTCCTAAATTCATAATATTACACGGATTTTAGACAGAAAATGTCACAAGAGACAAGAGAGAAGATTATCTATTAAGAAGTAATTAAACTTTTGAAGAATAATATAAAATATAAGAAGAAATGATTTTAGATATACTTCTAAGCAAATATATGTTTTGAATAGACTTTTTTTGTCCTGAACTAAATTTTTTTTAAAGGGTGTAATAAAATCCTAAATAAAATAAAATAAACAACAACAAAACCAGAAAAAGCAGCAACAATCAAATTCGGTTCTAAAGAATCTTCAGCGGCTGCGATGTAAGTGCAGGTTATTGCATTGTGCCGATGGGGACTAAAACCAAACTAGCCAAAACAAATCAAGGGTTAAGGGTTTCAAAATTTATCGTCAAATATTTGTAATCTATTAAGGCCCTAATTTTATTTTCAAAAAATAACTTGTCAATTATTCCATACATTTTCAAAAAATAAATTCATCACCTTTGTGAACAGAGAGAAAAATATTTTGGCCTTCATCACTTTTAAAAGTTCAGGGTTAAAAATAAATTTTAAAATTTTTCGACACGAAAAATCTCGTATACACAGAAAATAGTATATGTTATTTTTTAACAACTTTCTTGTGTCTTTATTTCTTAAGACTTCCCTTTTTCTAATTATTTTTCTTAATTAATCCCCCGCAATAAAGAAAAGGTATTAATTTTATGGATCAACTGCCACATTTGGGTATCATTGGCATCAATTTATTATGCCACCGAAATAGACCAATTTTCCACTTGATAATACCCAAGCCTCTAGCACATTTTTCATTCTATAGAATACCTCGGATTGCTGTTTTTTATGATGATTATTTATGATTTTTTCTCCTCATCTATTCACAACACATTATACGATCACATGTTTTTGGGAGATTTTTGTTTTGTTTTTTTTTTAATTTTTGACAAAATTTTGAAGAAGACAAAAAAAACAGACCGTCTAGTTATGATATTTCTTAAATTGGATTTTCTCGGTTGAGTCTATTGTAGAGTATAGTTAGATAGATATATTTTGAATTTATTTAAATTTATCTTCCAAAAAAATATTTTTAAAAAAATTTTGTATACCCTATATTTGGTATTGAAATTTGTTTTATAAATTTCCAAATATTTAATGGTAAAAAGTTAATTAAAAAGGGCTCGTCATTTTATTGTTTTTTTCCAATACATATATCTTAAATTTTTTTTTTTTTTTTTTTTTTTTTTTGAAGTGTAGGAAATCGCACATATTTGGATTTGGTTGTGGGAGTCTTTTAGAGAATATACATTTTTTATAATTTTATCTTTTGAAAATTCGAAAATAGTTTTTTAAAAATTTTTTATACCCTATATTTGGCATTGAATATGTTTTGATATTTTCAAAATAATTGACATTGAAAATATATAAGGCCAAATATGTGTCATTTTTTAGTTAAAAAAGGCCCATCAGTTGATTTTCTTCTCCCCAATTCTTATTTTTCTTAGAAAAAAAAACACACTTTTGTCTTAAATTCTCAAAGCTTTTATTTATGATGTAGGGTGGGAATATCATACATATTTTCATATATGTATATATTTAGTATGTATCTAGGCATGTGTTAATATTTATGTTTTTATTTTTCTTTGTTATCTTCTGATGTTTTTCTTATTATTTTTTTTTTCTCTAAGTCCAGCCAAGTTCAGGGCCACAAATATGTTTAGTTGTTATTTTTGGTTGTATTTTTTATAGAAAGAAATATAAAAATGAATGAATATTTAATAGATTTTCTTATGCCGAATATTCCGGAAGAATGAAAAACAAATTTTCTTAAATTTCCTTGCAAAAAATACACACTCCTGTTTTTTTTTTTTTTTTAATTTTCCAAAAGCAAAAAAGAAAAGAGAATAACAAAAATATTATTTTCCTTCTGTGTCACCTCGACGAATAGCATCAAACTTGGATTGTTGGAGTGATTTCTTGCAAATCAACAATGCCACAGACAATAGCAACAACAATACAGCAACAGCAACAACAACGCCTCAACATGTAACCGTAACATTGGAAAATTTGCGACATGAAGACTGTAAACAACAAATACAAATGCAATTGCAACAGCAACAACAACAGCAGCAGCAGCAACACCAGAACATTATATTAAATGCAGTGCCATTAATAACAATTCAAAGCAATAACAAAAATCTGATTATACCAACAACCACACAGCAGTCGCAACAACAATCCCAAAACAATTCCCCCAACTCCCTGAATTCGACGCAAAGCAATACAAAAATTCTAAATACTAAAGTGAATACAATCAAATTGACCCCCTTGACTAGTACGGCCACAATTCGGATTATTGAAAATCGTCAGCCTTTGATGCAACAGCAACAGCAGCAGCAACAAAATGTTGTGAAAACCGCCTTTTTGCACACAACCGGTGGCAATAAACGTCATTTGAGCAACTCGCAATTGTCGAATACCAGCATGGATTCGAAACGCATGAAGGGCATTAATGCCGAATCGACAACAACAACTTCACAATTGTTGCAACAATTGATAACGACGCCCCAAAATGGAAAACAACAACAAGCAAAGGATTCAAAGGCAATGATGACCAACAACCACAACACCAACTCCAATAAATGGTCATCACAAAATTCCAATGTTGTAATGGCTGAAAACAAACAACAACAACAGCAACACCAGAAACAGCAAAGGCAGCAACAACAACTTTCGCAACAATCAAATTCGGTTCTAAAGAATCTTTTGATCAGCGGCTGCGATGTAAGTGCGGGTTATTGCATTGTGCCGATGAGACCTAAAACCAAACTAGCCAAAGCATAATAAATAAGGGTTTCAAAATTTTAATTTATCGTCAGCCCCCTCTCAGTTTCCCTCCAAAACAAACAAAAAATGAAAACTAAAAATTAACAAAACGCATAATTTTTTTACAACACCTGCCTATTAAATAAGTTAATATATTTTATTAATATTATTTAAAAAAAATAGAAATGTATACAAAACAAACAAACGCTTTGTGTTGCACAAATGTGAAAATGTTTGAAAATCCCAAAATGTTTTTGTGAAAAACAAATTTGTTCGTTTTTTGGTAAATTGTTGTAAAGTTGAGTGAATTCATAACTCGGCTCGAGATTTTTGAAAGTTAAGTATTTTTTCAGATTTTAGAGCTAAACTTGCCTGAAAAATGTATACATCGAAGTCCTTGAAAGACGCAAAGCAATTCAACTCAGAAAAGATTTATTGATGATTGAGAAACTTATGAATATATATATATCTTTTTTTTGACAAAAAATGCAGAAGAGATTTTTGAATGCCAAATTGTTAGACAGGACTAAAAATGTCCCTCTCCTTAAGAAAAATTTGGAAGATTTTGTGTATTTGACTTTTTTGATCTTTGTAGGAAGTTTTTGAAAATGAAGAATTTTTTTAACATAATTTTTATATTTTCTGATTCCAAGGCCCAAATCAAATGAAGAAAGATTTTTTTTTACTTGTTGTTGAATGTGAAAATTTCTCATAAAGTCCCATAAAGTTTTGGGGATCTGTTTTGTTCGCTCTTTGGAAACTTGTTGAAATTTGCTCTGAGTTCAAAATATTTTTTTCCAGCTCCCATCGTTTGAAAAAGTATATAAACATTCGCAACCTCAGATTCTTAAAATACGAGACTCACCAATTATAATTCAACTCAGAGAACAACTATTGATCCTGACGGGACTACAGCTTAATGAATTATCATTGAAGGATTCACAAAAGTAGTTTTTATTTTAGAAAAAATATTAGAAATATAGATTTTAACTCAGCGAAGATTTTTATGTCAAAAATAATCCCTCAAGGACCTTGGTTTTTTTTATTAATTAACATTTTGACTCCATGGCCCGATTCGAAGAAAATCTTTTGGAGTTGCAGATCTCTGGAAAAAAGTGTCAGTCATAATTCAGGTCAGGTTTTTTGGAACCTTCCATGTTTTCCGATTTCATAACTGATTTCTATCATCGAAGGACCAAAACGCCCATATTAACCTGAAAACAGATTGATAATTATTCTAATTACATTTAAATTTGCATAGTAATTTTTCGAATTTTGGAAATCCCTTAAATATTAAATTGTCGGTCTCTGGAAGGCCAAAGGACAGGTTAAAATTTAGGTCAGAGAATATCTTTGGATGTTTGAGAATTTAAACCCCAAGAAAAAGGAATAGAACCTGTAACATCTTTTAGATTGTGCAGTCATATTTCGATATTCTTTAGATATAGGAATTATGTATTTGTTCTCAAAGGACAGGATTTGTTCTCGAAGGATTTTGATATTGGGTTCTGTCTTTTAGAAAAAATTGTCGATTCAGGTCTCTGGAAGATCAAATTAAGTATAATTTGAAATAGTTTCAGATTTCATAACTAAATTCGATTGTTTGCTAATTTTTTACAGTATTCGAAGGACCAAAAACTACTGTCAAAAAAATTCTGATTCAGGTCTCTGGAAGGCCAATTGTATATAAGGTCGGAAACGTAATGAGCATACAATCCTATCAACCTAGCCGAGTTATTTTTTCATCATTTAATTACAATTAGCCAATAAACGAACAATTTTTTTTTACAAAAAAAAAAAAAAAAACATTCTACCCCTTTAAATACCCGCCCAATTCTAAAAAACTCATTGTATTGTAAAAATTACGAAAGAAAACCAACAAAAAAAGTAACGAAAAATTGTAAAGACGTAAATGATAAGTTTTCACACGTTCACCTCATCGTTATATGAAAATATATCCTCCCCCACCCCCATTCACACACATTAAATCATTTGACTCTCTCTCTCTCCTCCACCCTCTAATCACGATTTCTTTTGTAAATGGATCGATTTTATAGACATATATACATATACAATATATCTATATTTACATAAATACAATAATATATACTAACTAGTTGTATAGTGAGAAACTAAAAAAAAAAAGAAAACTTAAAAAACGATATTTTCAATATTATTATAATTGTTTTTTCTTTATTTTTTGAAGAATTTATTTTCTAAGCTTTAATTATATAGCCCTATGTCGTATTAGTCCTTACAAGCAACAAGAAGAAAAAAACTAAAACACACACATACACAACTTAGTCAGAGAAACTAAACTAGGAGTAAAACGGAAACAGAACCTATAGTCTATTCTCTTTATTATTAGAGTTTAAGTAAGTGAGTAAGTAAGTAGTTTTAGGTATATACATAAATATATAGGTTTTAGTATTTTAGAGAGACATTATCTATCGTGTAGAACAAGAAGAATAAGAACAACAAACAAACAAACAAACAATGGGGAAAGGATACGGTAGGGAACAAATTGAAAAGGTCATACTTGTTGTCCTCCATTACACTCCTTTCTCCATATCTGTGTATTAGAGAGACTATTTGTTATAAAGAAACAAACAAACTAATGTTAAATGCTTTAATAAATATTACACACATAGTCTACTTTTTTTAATTTCTCTTTTTTTAAATTATTATTGGTAAACACTCAAAATATTTAATTTTTTTTTTTAATTAAATTTCCATTTTTTTGGAAACTTATTTTTCAAAATTTATTTTAGTTCCTTTGGTTTGTAAATAAAATACATATTATTTTAATTTTCTAAATTGTCTTCTATCACTCTTGGCCCCCTGATATTGTTTTTTTAAATCACTGTAAATATTACTGAGCTCTTTAGTTTATTTTTAATTAAAAATTAATTAACTTTAAGTGTTTTTTTTTATTTTGTTAATTTAATCTTAACTTTTTTATTATTATTAATATTATATTATAATTAAGAAATATTTTTAATTTTATTTTGTTATACACACCATTATATTATTAAACAGAAGAAAAAAAAAAACAAACGAAACAAACATCACATTTTTTGATTTTTGTTATATGAGACGAACAAATAAAAAAAAATAATAAACGAAGAAAAAAAAACTTTTTAAAAATGTCACTGAAATTTTGTTTTTCTTTATTTATGATTTTGATTTGATTTGATTTAGAACAATGTTTTTTTTCGTAAATCAAAGTTCGTAAATTCTAGGGATATTTTTTTCCAAATGTTGATAAAAATGTTTTCATTGACGTCATACTCCTCAAGTAAAATATGATGAGATTCGAAAAATACAAATTAAAAAAAGATTTTCAACTAACATTTATGCCTAAACTCATTTGAATGCTCAGACAGAACCACTAAAGCTGCCCAACAAAAATACATATTACAAATCCGGTTACAAACCCATTATTTTAACTCAAAATTACTACTTATTTTTCACCTAAAGTCTATTAAATAAGTGCTTTAAAACTCCTTATTTTCCAACATTTGGTTGTCAGAAGTTAACTACATATTTTGTAAGAAATGCCTCTCTCTCACTCTAAATAATGAGTTGGGGAGCTGCTTTGTAATGCGTATTATTGTTGGGTAGGACTTTGAAATGTGGTGTGTTTGTGTGTCGGCGAAAGGCTAGATTTGTAGAGCCCGGGCATCCAACCACCAGGTAATGTAAACAAATTGTCCCAACTAAAAAGCTCTTTACGAATCGAGTTCCAAACGCATTATTTTAACAAGGGCATATAGCTTATAATTAGAGTTACAGAAAAAACTACTTATTTGCGGCCAAAAAATAACTACTTATTCTGAGCAACATGACATTTTCACAATAATATGTTCGGAATCCATTTTTTAAAGGACGTTCTTGGACGTTCAGCATTATTAATATTAATAATGCATAATTCGTTAGAAATTTACAAGTCAAAACAACTTGCGTTAACCATTACCAGGTAATCAGTGGTCATAGCACAGAGAGTGCAAGGATGGAAAATTCAATACTCAGCGACGGCAAACAAATCTTGATCTAAGACTTGAAACAAGTCCTATACACGCTGCCCAAATGTTGCTCTGCGGTATTTTGGCCCATTACCGGCGAAACGCTTGCTTGAGGTGATCAACACTTTGGTTTTTTTTTAGTGCCCACCTTGCTTTCCAAAATACTCCAGACACAATAGTCCAACGGATTGGTATCCGGAGATTTTGGTGGCCATTGTGTGCTGGAAATGAATCGAGGAACCTCATGGTTGCAAACATTCTTGGGTGGCCGCGTGCTGAGTGAGAAAATATTTGCGTGCCCAAGGCTTTAATACACCCTCCAGAATATTTTCGCGATAATATTCGGCATTTTTTCTGCTTTTTTCTTCCTTGACCTTGGGCTACGCTACCAGTATCACGATAACGAGCGATGGTACGAGACACAAAAGATTTATTCGAATTTAAATGCTGGACTTGTTGTTTTCCAGCCAAATTTGAAGAAATCACACTATCCCGCTTGAATTCCATCACGAATAACTTTTTTTTCTGGAAAATTCTCTTAAAATTGTCTTAAAATCCACGCAGGGGGTTCCTTCTGAGTACTTTACCCCCCATTAGAGAATTGTCTGAATAGGTCCACGGTATCGTATAACGCCCATATAACATTTTTATGATTTCAGCCAAATTTGTCTATGGAATTGTCTTAAAATCCACAAAAGGAGTTCCTTATAAGTACCCTACCCCCTGGAAGGGAATTGTCTATATAGATCCACAATATTATATATCCCCTATATAGCGGTCCCTCCTGATATTCGTATAGCCCCCCATATAACGGTTTGCATTTGAGCTGTATTTTTCGACTGAATTGTTTTAAAAATTTTTAAAGTTTCTTCCAAATGGTTGAGGGTATAAAAAGGTCACCCCGGCCGAATTTAGCTTCTTTTTTACTTGTTG